ATACTGAAAAAATTAGTCCACGCCCACCTGCTGTGTGGGCCCCACCCAATCCGTATAAATCACATTAAGAGCGGGTAATCTGCTCCCAAATAGCTTATTCTTTTTCTTCAGCTATTCAGGAGCCAGTGAGGCCCGACGCTTAAAGGGCTACGCCTATATTCATAGAATCTGGGGTTACAGTACGTAACCAACGTTCTATTTCATATAGGCTTCGCCCTTTAAGGCTGTCGCTGATGGGTTAAGGGCGAAGCGGATGTGGTCCTCGCCTCACTGGGTCCATTCGAACACAGTAAGAAGCGGAAGCTTGCCCAAAAAACGTCTTGTCACTCAGCTCCCCATGTGCATAACTACGCATCGCGTAATTGTGTGCCATGCACAGACGCATGTTGTGTAACTATGCGTTCTGACAAAGCATGAATGCCCCGGAAAAACTTTCAACGGAAAGATGTTGAAAAGGGGGGGGGGGGCATGAACCAACTGGTTCATGGCTGAACAGTATAAACAGATTAATATCAATGAACTGATTATTGAACAAATGAACTGATTGGTAACAATAGTCATGAACTGATTAGTGACAATAGAACCAAAATCACAGACACAACTTGTGGCTGATAACAACATCTCACACTGTGAAGCATGCAGACAGATGTGAGTTTAAACAGAGTTCCACGAAGAAAACGACAGTATTCATTCTGTTAGAGCACTAAGGACAGAATGTGTCATGGAACGAGCCGTTACATCACGTAGGTAAAAGCGAATAAATGAGCAGGGTGTTGACCATGCAGCCGCAGTGCAATTGTCCTGCATTGACATACCATTATGCAGAGCAGTCGAAGAAGCGATACCCCTGGTTGAGTGTGCTTTGAGGTTGACAGGAGGCTCTAGATCTGATGCTCTGTAGGCTTCAGAAATGGCCTCACACAGCCAGTGTGACAAGCGCTGGGTGGATAACGGGCGCCCTGCAGAAGCATCTCTATAATGCACAAACAATTGTTGAGTTTGACGCATCGCAGCTGTGCGCGCTATGTAACATGACAACGCCCGCACCGGGCAGAGAAGATGAAAAGATGCTTCTTCTTCTGATCTGTGAGGGGGAGGGAAGAATCCCTCCAACGATATCTGTCTTGATTTAAAAGAGCTCGTGATGTTTTTAGG